CCAATTTTCACATTTCTGGAAGCATACTCGAAGCCATCTGGGTAATTGAATGCTTTATGCATGCACCTAACCATCACTGTGGGTGCAACACCAGCAAATCCCTTCTCTTCATAAAATGAATGGGATCGACCCACTGGATGATCCAAAATGTATGCTGCTACTTCCCTCAAAGCTCCTTCTCCTACCCGTGTGCCTTTCTTCAACCCCTCCCCATCCGCTGACGAGGGTAACCCCCGTGGATTATTCACAGCCAATGGTTCTTCATCAATAGGCTTAAAGACAGAGATATAATTCTGACCAGATGGATCTTGCATGAAATACGCTCCTCCAGATCCCTCTGATGACCGAACTGGTTCATTTCCTTTATCCATTCCATCAAATGTTGATCTAATAAGCTCTCTAATGACTAAAGGAAGTTCAATCTTAGAATTAACAATCAAAGGCTCCAAGAGAAAATCTCTCCTTAGTGGCTTTTGTTGTATAACTTGTTTTCCTAAAGATGTTTCCTTACAATGATATTCCTCCCTGACCTCTTTCTCTTTCTCATCTAAATTTATTGCGTCAACAGACACCTCAAAATCTTTATTAACAGGTTTTGCCCTTACTTTAGCAGATTTCTGAACCAGCAAGTGAATTACAACCTCACTTTTCTTACAGATCTCAGTAATAAGCCTCTTGTCATCAAGCTCTTCACCATTAAATATCAGTTCTTCATTTTTGAGATCAACAAATCCTTTTCCCTTCTTAGCAAGTTGCTGCTTCACATAACCCACATTTCTCCCCTTCTCAACATGAAACTCAAATTCCTTCCCACACATAGTCCTAATAGTAATAGCTTGGAGATCTGAAAGCCGCAGAACCAAATGCAATACGTTCCCATCAGCAAGCCCATAGTCCCGGACACGAGAATTGTTACGAGCCAGTTCCCTCCCTTCATATACCAGTTTCTGCTTCTTCACAAAAAATCCCTTGAAAGTCTGAATTCTTAGCTTCACAGAAGCAATTGAATCTGACTCCATTACACGAATGGGAATCACAGACCCAGCAACAGTGAGGTAAATCAAAATTGAGTCACTTGATGGCCGATCATTTCGCCCAGAAAAGTTACCAGGGAAATTCAGTGACTCCTCAAGCACAGGACTAAGAGCTACACTGGCTATTGACATTGCTGAACCTTTAGATATAAAATCAAGCTTATATCACCAACTTCTAGAGCCTAAATGCTATTAAGGAACAAGATGTTTACAGAATTTCAACAGGGTAATACCAAACCTTAGATTGGTCAAGCAGCCAAGCTGAAAGGGTGCATCAAATAGCCAAAATCAACACAAAAACCTAACACAACCATGAATTTCTTCCCTAATCTAATAAATGATGCCAAACTGCTAGATAAGCATCGGCATCCTCATGAATAAAGAGCAGCCAGGGACAAAATTTTTGTGGTTGTTGCAACTCAAACTCCTCCAAAGGTTTCCTAATATGATATTTTTTCACACAACATCACGTTTTTAAGCTGTTCAAAGTCATCCGGCAGAAGAACATGCGATCATTCCAAATTCAAGAATGAATATCACTGCAACAAACAAAAATATCGCTTGAATCAGACACCAAAAAAGCATCCCTTGATAAACGAGAAAGCAGAAGAAGCACTGGCAAAATCACTCGTCTCTC